ATATTGGGCAAGTAGCTAATGAAAATCACAATGATATTGACCAAGTAGCTAATGAAATTTCCAATGATATCACCCAGGTTTCTAATGAAAATTGCAATGATATCGGCCAGATGAATAATGAAAATCGCAATGATATTGCCCAAGTAGCTAATGAAATTTCCAATGATATCGCCCAGGTTTCTAATGAAAATCGCAATGATATTGCCCAAGTAGCTAATGAAATTTCCAATGATATTGCCCAGGTTTCTAATGAAAATCACAATGATATTGGGCAAGTAGCTAATGAAAATCGCAATGATATTGACCAAGTAGCTAATGAAATTTCCAATGATATTGCCCACAAGTAGCTAATGAAATTTCCAATGATATCGCCCAGGTTTCTAATGAAAATTGCAATGATATCGGCCAGATGAATAATGAAAATCGCAATGATATTGGCCAAGTAGCTAATGAAATTTCCAATGATATCACCCAGGTTTCTAATGAAAATCGCAATGATATTGCCCAAGTAGCTAATGAAATTTCCAATGATATTGCCCAGGTATCCAATGAAAATCGCAATGATATCGGCCAGATAACTAATGAAAATCGCAATGATATTGCAAGTAGCTAATGAAATTTCCAATGATATCACCCAGGTTTCTAATGAAAATCGCTATGATATTGGCCAAGTAGCTAATGAAATTTCCAATGATATCGCCCAGGTATCTAATGAAAATCACAATGATATCAGCCAGATAACTAATGAAAATCACAATGATATTGACCAAGTAGCTAATGAAATTTCCAATGATATCGCCCAGGTTTCTAATGAAAATTGCAATGATATCGGCCAGATAAATAATGAAAATCACCATGATATCACCCAGATAACTAATGAAAATCGCCTAATGAATAGACATGGTAACTGGAATGATTCCTATCATAAAGACTGTGGACTTATACACAGGGAGCCCTAGGCAGTTACCTTATTTATATGATAAAAGCAGTCTTCATATATAGTTTGTGAACTAGATGGATCAGTCAATCACAATAAAATTGGAGCGTTCAGAGTCATTCCGTATTTCACAAGAGAAAGGATCGACTTACCTGAGCACTTCAGTACACTTATTGATGCAAGCAATGAGGAACTGGATGAAATCGAAAACACAGGTGTTGAAGAAAGACCTAACGCAAGAGATTACTACTTTGAAGGAGTTAATCTTGATGGGTCTTCTGCAGATGAATCCAGGGACTTAGAAGAAATCAAAGATTTAAGTGAAGAAGAGGCTTAGTAGACTTATGCGTTAAATTGGCTAAAGTTTAATAAAACCTCCAGCAGTTTATAAACATAATGCGCAAGCGCCTTCTAGATTTTCCATGTGTAGTCAACTATACATGCGGGCTCTAGGTGTCTGTCTATGGAAAAAAGTTCGGATACTTCTACTACTCCTTAGTTACTTCACGCTCAGCAATCTGGGCAAGGGCAATTTCGTAATCAGCGACAAGTACATCACGAAGACGAAGCTCCAAGTCGAGGCACTGCATGCTGAGAAGAACACGTTCACGAAGATCGACCTCTTGCTGCTTGAAATAAGCAAGGGTGGGATAAGCTGGCATGCGGTTGGTAACAGCCGCATGTGTGTGCGCTAAGATCTCCCTGTACAAAGGGTTGTTGATGAGCAAGGAGTTGGCAGACTCGTCTATAACAAAGGACGAGCACATTAGTTTACGATTTATGAAGATAAAGATAAATACGAACTTTGACGAGACTGAAGGTCTGCTAAGCCACTGATAAAGGGTGGTTCAGTACGAGGGCGTTTGTCGCCGGCGCAACTGCCTTTGGCATGCTCAATGACAAGGGCCTTGTGAAATTCGCGACTGTTAGTGTCCATGCCTGGAACAGCATCGTAGGGAATGCTGACCGTTTCGGCACGCTTGGATTTGGCTGGGGTCTGTTATGTTCGGATAAAATATGAAGTTAACAACATGGCAGTGGACTCACGCAATAATAGCAGCTTACCTTGGGACCAGAGGCAGCGTGCTTCTTGCCTTTCTCTTTGGGAGAGGAAGTGGCGTCCTTGACTTCTTCGTCACCAAAGAGGTTGTCCACAGCCATCTGAGCAAAGCAGTACGCAATATTAAATTGTGTTCTGCTTGAAAGAAAATAAAAATAACGCACAGTATCAGCTGCAGTGATAGCGTAGGGGCCATCACACCCACCCATCGTAACGTTGGTATCTGAGGGGCCGGGGACAATCTCGACTTCGTCGTCCTTGTCCTCAACGACAGCCTTGGACTTGACAAGCTTGCGGGGATGCTGTTTCAAAATGTACCTGCACTGCGTTAATAAAATGAGAAAAGATGAACAAAATAAGTATAAATGTGCCTTGGCTTTAGCGGTGGACATTACCTCTGCAATCTCAGCCTGAGCCTGAGCTTGAGCAGTAACAGGTGGTGGAACGA